GAAATTTTTCATTTTTTCAAGTAGAATTTTCCAAAACAAAGAAAACACGGCACTTTCTCTCTCTCTCTCTCTCTTTCCTTTTTCCCCTCCCTATTAAATTATATTTCACGCCATTTTTTATTTTTTTATTTTTAATCGTTAACTTTTATTGCAATCGTGATATGATATTATTTATTTGTCGCTTAACGAACGATTTTCCCTCTTCCCCCATCGTCGATTAATCATCAAACGCAACCCGTGTGCGTGTGCGTGTGCACAACGATAATTTTACGTCATTAAATTTTTTGATTGATCTTTTTCCGATCCGCGCGAAACCCATAAAAAAAAAAAACGATAATAATAATAATGAAAATTTTGAGCAATTAACGATTTTTAATTTTTTTTTCTCCTCCGCAAAACGCCTTGCGAAACGTGATTATACTATTTTTATACATCAAATAAAAATGTCCGATAACGTTTATTTGTTATTTCGTATAACAAAAAAAAAAAAAATTTCTCTTCGACACGAATTTTCCGGGAGGAAATGAATGAGTCTCGCGATCATCGTCGATTTTTTTATTATCATTATTATTTACATAAACGTCATCAAACAAAGAAAAAAATAAAATAAAATTTTCCAAACGGCGACGATAAATTTACCTGTGGTTGAATTAAAAAACTGTCCGACTGTAAAATTTATACATTTTTTTCTTTCCCTCCTTGTTTGTTTGTTTGTTTGTTTTCTTTGTTTGTTTGTGTAACCGAAGAAAGAAAGAAAGAAAAATGATTGACCGTCTTTGTCCTCGATTAAGTTTTCCGATAAATTATCTGTCGATATTCAAATAGAACAAAAAAAAAAAAAAAAAGATGGAGAAAGGAAAGAAAATCGACGCGTAATATAAACACGCACACGCACGCACGCACAAACAGTAAAATAAATTTTAAAACGAAAATTTCCCTCCAGGTCGTACCTGAATAATTATCATGTAGAAATTTTCGATTTTGTACGAATAATTAATTAAAGAAAAGAAAAGAAAAACCGCGAATAAAAATGTTTTTTTTTTATTTTACGTAACGAAAATGCAAATTCACATAAATCTCTCTTTCTCTCTCTCTCTCTCTCTCTCCCCGTTTAATCCGCCACTTACCAAAAAAAAGTACAGGGATAAACCTTAAACCGGGCGCGAGCAACAAAAAAAACGAAATGTTTATCTTTAATAAGTTTAACAAAAGAAAAAAAAAAAAAAAATCTTCTTCTACATTTTTAAGTGGATTTCATTTAAAAAGCGTTAAAAAAAAAAAAAGTATTCCAAGTTATAAAAGAAATCCTTCTTCTTCTTCCTCTTTTTCATCTTCTTCATCTTCATCTTAAAGAAGTAGAAATAGAAGAAGTAGAAGAAGAAGTAGAAGAAGAAGTAGAAGAAGATTTTTTCATTCATTCTATTTTCCGAAATGATATAAATCGCTAAGCATAATTCTTAACTTTAAAACTCTTTAAAGTCGAATGGATGAGAAGGAAAGAAGGAAGGAAAGAAGGAAAGAAGGAAAAGAGAGAGAGAGAGAGAGAAAAGAAAATTTTTTTTTTAAAACTTGAAAGTAAAAAAATTTTCCTTCCGTTCGAATATTTTTTTTTTTTTCTTTTAAGATGCGGAAAGTAAATTATCAGAACGCGAGTCCTAAAGATAAAGTGAATAAAAAAAAAAAAGAAATTTCACTTTTCGTCTTTTAAGAAAGATAGAAAGAGAGAGAGAGGAGGTATTCTGAAAAAGCATAATTTCATTTAAAGAACAACGTCATCATCATCATTTTCTTCTTCCACGATTGGGATGACGCGACGCGTGAATTTCAAACACTAAAATCGAAAAAAAAAAAAAGAAGAAAAAAAACGTGGCGGCAACAACAAACGACAACCACGATTTGCGCATGAGCCAATCAATATTAAATTAGGGTCAGGCAAAAAGATGTCAGGAAAATTCTAAAGCTTTTCATTTTTAGCATTTTCTGACTTTCTTTCTCTCTCTTCCTCTTTCTTTCTCTTTCACTCCAATTCAATTTTCTATCCTTTTTTTTTTTTTAAATTTTCCCTTTTTTCTCTCTCTCTTTCTCTCGTGCTTTTTACATTTTTGTGTTTTTGGATATTTGAAACTCGTGAGCCAGATGTCACTGTCGTCATCTCATTTTTATTTTTCCTTTGAAGGAAAATATTAATAAAAATACGTCAAGACCTTATTTAAATAAATAAATAAAACGCAACCGAAACAAGTCAAAAAATAAATAAATAAATAAGTAAGTAAAAGACGTAAATTTATTTTTTTTTTTGTTTTTTAATCACCCACGCAAAATTTTTATATAAATCGATCACGTGATTCAATAATCCGACTATTAATATAAAAACGAAAACGAAAAGAAATACAAGAGTTGGAAAAAAAAAAAAAATTGACGTGACGTTCTGTTCAAACCGGCTTTTTTTCCCCATAATAATAATGATAATTATTATTATTATCATCACGATAATAATAATACTAAAAATTTTAAAAGGGATGAGCGCCTCTACTTTTGACGATAAGGCAATTTCAAATCCCTTGACGTGAAAAATAATATAAAAAAAATTTTTTTACTTTCTTTCTCTTTCTCTCTCTTCCCGCCCCTCTTTCTTTAAATCTCTCTCTCTCTCTCTCTCTCTCTCTCTCTCTCTCTCTCTTTTTATCTCATCCAGAAAATTCTTCGATGTAAACTTGTTTCCCCCCCCAAATTTTGAAATTTTAAATTTTTTTAACACGGAAATTACAAAAAAATTATTACAATTCAAATCCCAAGCTTATTATTATTATTATTATTATTATTTCGAACTTGACGCCAACTAATAAATAAATAAATAAATAATGATGATGATGATGATGATAAACCTTTAGAAACAGTTTGAATATTTTTTTTTTGTTTTCCACGTGAACGTAAATTTCATTGCGCGACAAAAAAAAAAAAAAAGAAAATTCAATAACGTAAATCTTATCTACTTGGAAAATTTCATAAACGACATTTTTCCCTGTTTCCCTTTTCCCTCTTTCTTCATTTTATTCTTTAATTCTTTAACTTCCTTTCGCAACCTTTTTTTTTTTGGGGTTTAAAAAAAAAAATGAAAAGAAATGATGGAAAAGAAGATGATGAAAAGTTTAAAAAAAAAAACCGAAATGAAAATTTTCAAAAAAAAAAAAAAAAAAAAAAATACCAACCGGAAATCACATCCGTGAAAAAAAAAAGAAAATTTCCCTGGCATTTATTTAAAAGCAATAAAAAAAGGTAAAAAAAAAAAAAAAATTATCATCAACCTTTTTTTAAAACTGATAAAAAAGGAAAAAAAAAAAAAAACAACAACAACAACCATTGAAAGGATTTTTTTGAGCAGAAGAAAAAGGTAGAAATTTTTTTTTTGAAGTCTATAAAAAGTAGGTAGAGTGGTGGGAGGAGAGGGAGGAGGGAGAGAGAGTAGGAGAAGGAGGAAAGGGAGGAGGAGCAAAGGTATTTTTTTTCGAAATCAAATTTTCAAACGGTTTTTTTTCGGTTTTTTTTTTTTGAAAACGACCGATTTCGAATTTCTAATCGTAAACCACGCGTTACGCACCCGTTACGCACGCGTTACGCACGCACATCGGATCGAATGCGTAAAAAAAAAAAAAAAAAAAAAAAGTTATTTTCGGGCAAAGAACCAAAATGTTTGAGCAAAATTATTAAAAGCAGTAGACGCGCTGTAGAAAAAAATAGAACGAACGCCATTTTTTTTTTTTTTTTTTAGTTTTTTTTTTAGTTTTTTGACGTTGCCAATCTTATAAAAAAAAAAAACCGATAAAATTTTTTTTTTTTTTTTGGGGGGGGGGAATTTTATCGATCGATCCATCGATCTATCGATTTGATTTCTTATAACTTTACGACCGATTAGATTTTATCGTTTAAAAAAAAAAAAAAAAAATTTTCTTTAGTAATCGAGAAGAATAGAAAAGCGAAAAATAATAATAATAATAAAAAAAAAAAGAAAAAAAAGGTCGGCTATACGAAAAATAATCGATGCGTAGGCGTCCCGCTGCTCTCGCTTCTCCTGCTCCTGCTGCTGTTGCTCTTTAAGATTTTTTCTTTTTTTTTTTTTTTTTTTTGTTTGCCAACGTTATCGATAGACCGCCATTGCGTCATAAACATATTTATTACGACGACGATGATGACGTTTTCGCGCGCGCGTAAAATTCTTTAACCCGACATGCGACGGGATTTAATTTAATTTAATTTTTTCTTTTCTTTTCGCCGAACGAAACTTTTTTGTTTTTTTTTTTCGAAATGTTAGTTTTCTTTCCCCTCCCCCCTTTCCTCTCTTCTTTCCTTTCTCGAAATCGTCGCTGTTGGTTTTTTTTTTTTTTTTTTTTGGTTTTAATTCCCCGACGCGAGACACGAAATAAAAGCCCCGCGGAGAAGACATTTTTTTTTTTTTTTTTTTTTTTTAAATTCCTTTTTTTTAACGACCCAAATTATACTATTAACAAATAAATAATTAACTTTTCTTTTCTTTTTTTTTTTGGGAGGGGGGTGGCGGCCATTTTTTAAAAAATTCAAAAACTTTTTTATTTCCTACAAAACTTTTTTTTTTTTTTTTTCGTTGACATACGCAATAATTTCAATTTAATTATTATATCATATTATTATTATTATTATTTTATTTTATTTTAATGTGAAAAATTGTGCCAGGCACAAACTGAACTAGGTTAAATTATTATTATTATTATTATTATTTCATTTTTTATGCGTATTCCCGGAAAATAAATAAAATAAAAAAAGGGAAAAAGATTTTTTCCGTCCTCGTATGTTTGTTGTTTGTTTATTTTTTTTTACGAAGATTTCAATTACTATTATTATTATTATTATATTTATCGTGAGTTTAATGATTTTTCCCGGGGGTGAGGTTGAGGGGAGTGAGGGAAAAATTGATAAGGAAAAGTAGTAGTAGTAGTAGTAATAATAATAATAACTCTGTTACTCACCTAACAAAGCTTGAAAAAGTCGAGATTTGAATATTCTAATAACTCTCTCGATGGCTAATCTTAGCTGTTTATCCTGAGGCCTCGTCAATTTCGAATGATAATCTTCTAATAATTCCAAAGCACGATGTGCTTCTGAAACGTGAAACGAAATTATTCAATTATTATCATTATTATCATCATTATCATTATTGTTATTACCGCTACCATCGTAGTCGTTAATAATAATAATAATAATAATAATAATAATTTTTTTTTTTTATTTTATCACGATTTTGACATCGTTTTCCCATTCATTTCGTTTTTAATAATAAATAAATAGTAATAAAGTGATTAAGTCGAGGAGATCACTCCAGGGAAGGGATTCCCCTCCTTTTTTTTTTTTTAAATAAAGTTAATAATCAATAAAATATTAATAATAATAATAATAATAATAATAATAGTAACAACAACAACAACAATAAAACGTAACTAAAAAAAAAAAATAAATATTATTAAATATTTTTTTCCAAATACTACTGTTTTCTTTTTTTATAAATAATAATTTACTATCGTTATTTTAATTATTATTATTATTATTATCAACTTGAAATTGTAATCGAACGAAAAAATAAATATGGCGCGCGAGTT